AGGGAGGCAGCGGTCAAGGAAGCAGCAGCGCAAGCAGCCGTGGTGGCTCTACTGGGGATGAGCACGGCACCCCCAGTCAGGGCGGTCCCTCTGGAAACCGCGGACCCCGCCCTGGCACTCTCCCTCCCTGCACCTATGTCCGTCGCTACGGTCCCCGGGCAGGGACACCCTGCGGTCAAACCAACCATCCCCCTAACACTTGCTTCAAGGCTCTCGATGATGCCTGGTACGCACGGGGCAATGTTGGCACACCTCCCCGCTGGGGTACCGTCTCCCCGCGTCCCTCCCCTGCTGACATCCAAACCCACCCTGCTTATCTCCCCGCCCACCTCCGCCTCCTTGCTCCCCCCACGTCGTTCCTCAATCTTCAGCAGCAGCATCTTCTGCAGCAGCAGCAACAGCAGCAGCAGCTGTTCCAGCAGCAACCACAGCAGCAGCAGCAGCTGTTCCAGCAGCAACCACCGCAGCAGCAGCAGCAGCAGCAGCCCCCATGGGGACCCGGGCTCCCACCCCAGTGGGGACCCAGCACTCCCCCCTGGCAGCAGCAGCAGCTGAACTTCAGCATGGCAGCCACAGCTGCTCAGACCTCCCCTGCTCCCCTGTGGGGTGCCCCACCTCCTCCTGGTAGTATTGTCACTCCCCTCACCCAGGAAAGTTTTCTTGGCAACATTGCTCTTTCCCCTTCATTCCTTCCATGTACCCCTCCACCATTAATGAAACCACTTTCCAGTACTCGGTGTCTTCCTCCTCCTCCCCACCCACTCTGGACTTCGTCCTTGATAGTGGGGCCACTGAGACTGCTCTCAAGGATGCTGGTACACTCACACCCCTCTCTCCTCCCACTCAAGTTCACGGTGCTGACAGCAGTTTCACCATCCCATGCACACATCTCTCCACTCTCCCCTGCACAATCTTCCCCTCCGGTAAGGTAACTGGTCTCCACATCCCCACTCTCCGAAACAACCTCCTCTCCCATCGGGAAATCCAGAATGCAGGTATCACTGCCGTCTATCCAGGTAATGCCACCTACTGTGACCTCTATCACACCGCCACCGGTCGCTTCCTTCTACGCATTCCCCTCTGCCCCCGCACTCGCCTCTACACTCTCCGCACCCCTTGGCCATCCTTCTGCCATGTCACCACTCGTGCTGGCACCTCCACTCACCCTTCCCATCCCCCTACCTCACCTCCACCCCAGCAGCAGCAACAGCAGCAACAGCAGCCGCCGCAGGGGCAGCATCCGCAGCAGCAGCAGCGGCAGCAGCAGCAGCCGCCGCAGCAGGGGCAGCAGTAGGGGCCGCAGCAGCAGCAGCCGCCGTCGCAGGGGCAACAGCAGGGGCCGCAGCAGCAGCAGCAGCAGCACCAGCAGCCGCCGCAGCAAGGGCAGCCGCCGCAGCAGCAACAGCAGCAGCCACCTCCCCCTCTCCCACCCTCACTCACTCCAACCCCCTCCACCTCCGACCATCTCTCCCACCCCGCTGTACTGCTACATCACCGACTCGGCCACCCCAATTTCGCCGCTCTCCGCACTGCCATCACCTCTCGCCTCCTTCACAGCCTCCCTCCCACTCTCCCTCCCCTCCCTTCCTCTCCAGCCCCTCCATGCCCCTCCTGCATCCACGGCAAACTCAAACAGTCTCCCCACCACAGCCACCCATCCTTTGCTCCCGCTCCCATTGACCTAGTCCATATGGACCTCTGGGGACCCTCCCCCACTCGCTCCCGTCAGGGCCATCGCTACATGCTGGTCCTCGTAGACGACCACAGCCGCTACTCCTCCATTTTCCTCTTCCACACGAAAGACCAGGCACCGACTGTGATCACCCACTGGGCAGAGCAATGCTGCGCCCACTTCAACCGTCCCATCGGCCGCCTTCACTCTGACGGCGGCGGAGAATTCCTCAACCGCACCCTCTCCCACTACTGCGCCACCCATGGCATCCAACAGTTCCCCATTCCTCGCAGCAGAATGGTGTCGCAGAAAGCCGCATTCGCGAAATCACCAAAATCGCTCGTTGCCTCCTCGCTCACGCCTCCACCCCTCCTTCCCTCTGGGGCTATGCTCTGCTCCATGCTGCCCTCCTCCTCAACCTTCACTCTCATCCTCAACACACTGCCATCACCCCCACGGAACTCTGGTCAGGCATGAAACCTGACGCTGCCGGTCTCCGTGTCTGGGGCTGCAAGGCATACGTTCTTATCCCTCCTTCCGACCGCACCCACGGCAAGCTCGCTTCTCGCGCCCTCGAGTGTGTCTATCTCGGACACAACCGCGACTCGCCTGGCTACCTCTTCCTCCACCCTCCCTCCGGTCGCCTCATCCGCAGCATTGACGTCGTCTTTGACGAAACCACCCCGTACTACTCCTCTCCACCACCAGACCCCCTCCCTTCTCCTACCCGTCCTCTCGCCTGGACCGACACTGTCCTCCCTCCCCTCCTCCCTCCTGCGCCTCTACTACCACCTCTCCCTGCTCCACCTCCACCGCCCTCCTCTGCTGACATCTACGATCCTACTGCACCTGCATCCCCTGCCCACTCCGCCGCCCCCCCTCTCCCCTTCCCCTCCTCCCCTCCCTCTCCTTCATCCCAGCAGCAGCAGCAGCAGCAGCAGCAGCAGCAGCAGCAGCAGGGGCAGCAGCAGCAGCAGCAGCAGCAGCAGCAGGGGCAGCAGCCGGGGCAGCAGCAGGGGCAGCAGCAGCCGCGGCAGCAGCCGGGGCAGCAGCAGGGGCAGCAGCTGGGGCAGCAGCAGGGGCAGCAGCAGCAGGAGGAGCAGCAGCCGCAGCAGCAGCAGGGGCTTCAGCAGCACCAGCAGCAGCAGCGGCGGAGGGCGACTGCCCGCTCCTCACCCTTCCTCCTCCCTCGCATGCACACCCGCTCCCTTGATCCCATCCTTGGCACACCGCCTTCTCCCTCCCTCAACCTGCTAGAGGACTTCCATGAGGAACTCACTATGGTCCAGCGCCACACTCCCTCTCTCACCCCCCTCTACCCTGGCTTCCTCGGCACTCTTATCCTTGCCGCAGTCTCCGCTCCCACCATCTTCGTCCCCTCCACCTTCCAGGAAGCTATCACCTGCCCAGATGCCGACAAATGGATAGCCGCCATCTTCCTGGAATGTGAGGCCTTCGTCCGCAACGACTCTTTCATCGACGTGCCCCTCCCTCCTGACGCCAACCTTGTCGAGGGCAAGTGGATCTTCCGAGTAAAGCAGCTGCCGGGAGAAGAACCAGTCTACAAGGCCCGCTATGTCGCCAAGGGCTTTACACAGACTTGGGCTGAGGACTACTGGTTCACATTCGCCCCTACCGTTAAGCCACCTACCCTTCGCGCCCTTCTCGACGTTGGTGCGCGCGACAACATGGAGATTGACTCCATGGACGTCTCCAACGCATTCTTGCAAGGCGAGCTGCACGAGCGTATTTTCCTACGCCGACCTCCCGGGTTTCACGCTGCTTTCCCCGGCAATAACGTCTGGCAACTACGTCGACCAGTCTACGGTCTGAAGCAGGCACCACGAGAATGGCATGCAAAGCTGTCTGCCACTCTCCAGTCCCTCGGTTTCTCTGCCTCCCACTCCGATGCCAGCCTCTTCATCCGCTCTTCCCCTCGTCGCTTCTTCATCTCGGTCTACGTTGACGACATGATCCTGCTTGCTGATTCCAGGACCGACATGGACCAGGTGAAGCAGTCCCTTCAGGACCGTCTCAAGTGCAAGGACCTTGGTCCGCTGCAGAACTACCTCGGCATGACCATCACCCGCGACCGATCCGCCCGCACCATCACCCTCTCCCAGTCCCATTACATCGGCCAGGTGCTGGAGAAGTTCGAGATGGCGCAGGCCAAACCGGTCTCCACCCCCCTCCCCTTCGGTCACCAGCTGGCGCCACCCACCTCCCCCTCCGCCTCCTCCCGTCCCTATGCCGAACTCGTTGGTCGCTGATGATGTGCACTCGCCCCGACCTTGCCTACCCCATCAGCGTCCTCGCTCGGTTCGTCGGCTCCGGCCGCCACACTGAGGAACACTGGACTGCCGCCAAGCGAGTTCTCCGCTACCTCCGAGGCACCAAGGATCACGCCCTCATATTGGGTGGTTCCTCCCCTCCCCTTCTCTCTGGCTTCAGTGACTCCTCCTGGGCGGACTCCCAGCCAGACCGCCGCTCCTCACAAGGCTATGGCTTCACGCTTGGCAGCGGACTTATCAGCTGGCGTTCTACTCGCTCATCTGCCGTTGCCCTCTCCTCCTGCGAAGCCGAACTCTATGCTGGCACCATGGCTGCACAAGAGTCCCGTTGGCTCTGCTTTCTTCTAGCCGAGCTTGGTGCCCCGCAGCGCTGTCCCACACTCTGGTGTGACAATGCCAGCACCATCCATCTCACCCAGGACCCAGTCTTTCACGGCCGCTCCAAGCACATCGAGCTCCGCTACTTCTTCATCCGTGACCTCGTCCAGCAAGGCCTCATTGCCGTCCACAAGATCGCTGCTGCGGCCAACTTGGCTGATATATTTACCAAAGCCCTTCTCCGCCCTGCGCACTCTGCTCTTCTCCGTCTCATCGGCCTCGGCCCTCCCGACGTGCCTTGATTCAGGGGTTGCTACTCTCCAGCCTTTCCACATATCTGCAGGTTACGGGGTTGTGTTAGAATATCTCTCCTCTTGCAACCTGCATATATGCTATAGGATAGGCTAGAGATAAGCACCCAAACTTAGTTTGGGTGTACAAACAGGGGTAACCCAGTTTGTAGGTTGGAACCCAACCTTGGTCCAATTATTGGACACCAAAAGGTTGGGTTGGGTAGAATTATTGGCTCCCTCCAATAATGTTGGCCCAACCCCACCTTGGCCAACATTATTGGACCCCACCAATAATCACCCAACCCAACTTCTTGGTTGGGGTCCAATAATGCCAACCTAGGCTAGTATCCAAACCCCAACTATGTATACCCCCATCATTCTCAATCAAAGCATCAACTTCTATTCTAACTCTTATTTCCCACAACCTCAGCACTCCACATGTCTGCATACCTCAGCACTCCACATGTCTGCATACCTCAGCTCAGCACTCCACATGTCTGCATACCTCAGCACTCCACTGCAACTTGCCACACCGTGCCAAACGAGAGGTCATGAAGGGATGGAATGAATGAAGGTACCAACCAAGGAAGGACTGGCAGGCAGGAGAGAGGCACGGAATGGAGGGAAGGTGATGAGGAAAGTGACCTTTGAGGTGCCTTAAAAGGGAAGGGTGGTGAGGAAGGTGCACGAAAAGGAGTGGAACTTGGAAGGGCCAGAAGAAAGAGTGTTGCGGTAGACAGGGGGATGAATCAAGACACAGATGGAGTGAAACAGAAAAGGGTGGGGGGGGGGGCGAGAGGAACAATGGAGGGAGAAGGGATCGGAGAAAGGGCTTTCATAAATGAATGCATAGTACAGCTAAGGAGCATTGCAAATGATCGGTATCATGACGACGCAAATCAGAATACCGGGGAGGGGCGTGAGAAGGTGAGGAGGCTTCTTCCAGCCATGCAGCACCCAGCCATGTAGCACCCAACCATGCAGCACCCAACCATGCAGCACTCAGCCATGCAGCACTCAGCCATGCAGCACTCAGCCATGCAGCACTCAGCCATACATCACTCGCAGCAGGACGCACCTGCCCGGCTGCTTGCTGGTGGCGAAGGCTAAGGCCGTCTGGTCGGCGGCAAAGACGATGAATGGCCGCCCGGACCAGCTGCCTGCGCGCATCCGCCCTGCCCAGGCCAAAGCATCTGGCACTCGAGTCGTCAGGGAATTTCATAGCAGCTTCATCTCCCTCGGGCCACTCCTCCCACTCTGGTAGGCGACTGCTTCCATCCACAGGCTCGGGAACAGCACTGAACCTGACCAGCAGGCTTGGAAGATCCCGAAGCGGGTGGCGCATGGGCAGGACCTTGCCCCGTGGGTTGCCCTTGAAGCAGCTCTTGGCGGAGATGAAATCTGAGCCGTAGATCCGAAGCCATTGCAAGATGCAGGCAACCCGATATGTGAGCAGCCCTCATATTGACTGTGTTGACAGGCACGAGGCAAGTCTCACGGGAGGCGGACACAGACACCGTCTTCCTCCGCCTCTCCCTCTCCCAGGTAAGACCCACCCTCCACCTCTCCCAGGTGCAACCCGCCCTCCACATCTCCCAGGTGCAACCCGCCCTCCACCTCTCCCAGGTGCAACCCGCCCTCCACCTCTCCCAGGACATGGAGGACATGATCTGTGTTGACAGGCACGTGGCAAGTCTCACGGGACCCTCTGGTACAAGAGTTGGAAGTGGCACAACTGCCGGTCGAACTCCTGCCAAGGTTAGGTCTGGCTCGGGCTGAAGTAGCAGCCGCTTTGTAAGCTGGGCGCCCTGTTGTTGGTGCCACTGCTGCTGCTGTTCCAGGTTTTCCACCTGTTGTCCCTCTCCCTTTCATCCCTGCTGCCCCTCCCCCTTTCATTTCTGTTGCCAGCCTGAGCGTTGACAGCCTTCCCCTGGCCTCCGTGACGGCTGCATCTTCCACAATGCTGGTGGTGGTGGTGGACCCCGCAAAGAACATCGCTCCCAGCTTGCGGTGCTCTGGTCTGGAGAACACTGATGCGACTGCCAGTGCGAAGTCCCTCTCTTCCCCCCCTCCATGCTCCAGAATCGAAGCCATACCATCCACATACCCCTCCCACACACGCCCCTTCAGATGCTCCCTCCACTTCAAGTCCTTCCTATCCCTCCCACACCTGCTAGCAACCCCTTTGACCTCTACCATATTCGCTGTCTCCTCCCCACCTCCGTGCTTCACAGAATCAACCCCATGTGGTGCCGCCACCAGCCCCCTTACGGGCCTTCTCTCTTCCCCTTCTCGCCCACCAACCATCAGGTCAAGCTCCCTCCCAAGTCTCCTTGTCTGCTCTCCACTGCCTTCACTCACACGGTCACCCATCTCCCTTTCCCCTCCCCTTGCTACTTCCCAGCATTCTTTCCCCTGCCTCCCCCCCTCTCCTCAGCATGCGCCTTCTCCAGCCCGCCTGACAGCACATGCTGCACAAAGAACCCAAACCCTTCCTGCAAATCAGCGCTCTCCTTCACCCCCAGCACCAGCACCAGCATGGAAGCTGCACAGTCCTACTCCTCCTGCCTGCCCGCCCCCAGCTCAGCCACCAAAGCTGGGTACACCAAATCATCAATATTAGCATGAGCTTTCCATAGCGTGTCGATTCGGGGCAATCTTGCTACAAGCACAAGGAAGGCAGCAAAGCTGACAGCACGGCGGTAGGCAGCCCAGCAGTTGCTGCAACGCCAGCAATAGGTCCACACAGCAGAATGAACAGCAGCAACAGTTAGAGCAGATGCAGCAGGAATGGCCAGAATGGCAGGCAGGCGGGATCTGATTTTCCCCAGGTCCATGAGCACGCCCACACGAGGCTCAGCCATCCACTCGAGAATCATTACCTCGGCACAGACAAACGGCGCAAGAGTGCCCTTGCACATGAACTGCGCAAGCGGCTCCTCCTCCTCCTCCTCCTCCTCCTCCTCCTCCTCCTCCTCCTCCTCCTCCTCCTCCTCCTCCTCCTCCTCCTCCTCTTGCTTCCCAAACGCTGGGACTCGAAAGGAATACTCCAGCACACTCCTGTTGACCACGTTCAGGTGTGCAAGGGGGTGGAGCGAGGCTGCGGTGTGTGCAGGAGGGATCGGAAGAGGTCAAGACTCTGCATGGTGAGAGCACGCTCTGCATGGTGAGAGCACGCTCTGCTCCAAGGCTGACCACTTGGTCAAAGCAGCACTCGCACTCTGCCGCATCCCACCAGCCATGCACGTCCAAGTAGTGAACCATGTCGGCTCGACACAGCAAGGGAGGCTTCCTCGGTGCTTCCTGAGCTCCCATTCCCCCTACCCTATCCCACCGGCGGTCTGAGCAACTGCCTGCATGTGAGAGTTCCACCGCCTCATCACCTCGTGCCGACCACGCCAAATCTCCTCCTTGAAGTCCGAAAGACCTCCACCGCAGGATGCGCTGCTCCCTGGTAGATCTCCGTTCAGCTTCATGTCCTCGCCCTCGTCTTCGTCGCTGCTGGACCCGATGTGGTCCCACTTGCTGTAATCGACTGTAGATGTAGCAGCAGCAGTGATTGGAGCAGCACCTGTAGGTGCAGGTGCAGTCGCAACAGTAGGAGGAGCAGCAGGAGCTACAGCAGCAGGAGCAGCAATCACAGCAACAGTTGGTGCAGCAGGAGGGAGAGCAGCAGCAGCGGGAAACACCTCAGGAGCGACCACGACAGCACGAGCAGCAGGAGCAGCGGCAACATCCGGAGGCACAGTCGCAACAGGTGGAGCAGCAGGAGCCTTCACGCTCTGATCAGCTGCCTCCTTGCGCTTCCCATCTTCATCTCCACTCACTGCCTTCACGGGAAGCACCTTGATGGTAGAACTCGGTTTCAGCTTCGCTTGCTCCACAGCAGGCTTTGGGGGGGGAGCACAGGGAAAAATGGCGTGAAACCATGGACAGGGAATTAAAGGCGCTGGAAGACAGAAACAATAGGAAGATAGTACCCATCGGACTGGCACGCAACAAAACCATTCTCACGGGAAAATGGGTCTTCCGCGTGAAGACGAAAGCCGACGGAACAATTGATAAATTCAAGTCAGGATGGGTTGTGCGTGGCTTCAACCAAGAACACGGACGAGACTTCACCGAAACCTTTGCGCCGGTCAGCCGACATACCTCTTTACGAATCCTCATCGCGATAGCCGCCAAGAAGCGGAAGAAGCTTCGCCAAATTGACGTGGCTAACGAATTTCTCTACGCTCCCATCGACGCCGAAATCTTCGTCGAGCAACCACACGGATCTGACACAGACCCTAATCAAGGTTGTCAGCTGGTGAAATCCTTGTACGACATCAAGCAAGCTCCGCGGCTGTGGCAGCAGTACCTACACGCTCAATTATTCCGTATCGGCTTTCAGCAACTACCACACAACCAGGGCATGTACAGACTCACAAAGGAAGCCGAGTACATTATGCTCATCGTGTACGTAGACGACTTACTCTACATAGGCTCCACCGACGGCATCACCAACTGGTTTGAAGGGGAGCTGCAACAAGATCTCTCACTCACGGTTTCCTCTACCGTGACCTAGTACCTTGGACTCAACATTCTAGACGGAGAGAACGCGATCTACCTCAGTGCCGCAAAATACGCCGACACCATCGCAAACCGCTTCGGACTGACGCTAGCCTCCATTTCCACGCCCTACCGCTACACCGCGGGAAATCACAAGGAAAAAACCAACCTGCTTGGACCTGCCAGCCTACGCGACTACCAACGAAAACTGGGCTGTTTGCTCTTCGCAGCCGTCACGTGCCGACCGGATCTGTCATACTCAGCGAGTCAGCTTGCTACCCACCTCAAGCGGCCCGAAGCAGAGCATATGGCCGAACTCGACCGCGCCTTACACTACCTCATCAGCACGCCAACGATCGGCCTAACCTACCACAAGACCGGAACCACTACTCCAAAGCTAATCGGCTACGTGGATGCTGACCACGCAGGCGATTCTGATAACAGGCGATCGCGCACCAACTACATCTATCGACTCGAGTCCGTCGGTCCAAGGTGTCCGCTACGCCCGCATTGGCTACGGGTTCGACCATGGTGACTATCGCTGCTGCCGACCTACGAACGACTTAGTAGGTGCAAAAGTCGGCTCCTATCCGAAGGTCGCGTGTTCGATACACGCTCACCGCACCATGAGGATAATCACTCTACAACGGTAGTGAGATAGACTATGGGGTTGGCACGAACTACTAGAGGTGATCGTAGCTTTGCCTAGTTCCTTGGTGCTTGCACAATCACGGGAGAAATTGGCAAGAGTTTCCACTAGCAAAGTTGGAGTTACAGAATTGTTGAACAAGCAATGACAAGAATGACTACATCAGGCACCTAGCAACTCTGCAGCTAGCCTGGTCGACAGACAGCACAGCATGGTCGACCGCCTGCCAGCGTTGCGTAGAGGAGCCGCGCCAGCACTGCAGAAAGGCGACCTGCCAACACAGCAAGTCGACGGTGTGCCAACGCTGCAGCAGAGCGGCTGTCCAGCGTTGCCCCGTAGAAGACAGCAGTGCGCACGCTCACAGGTGCATGCAGACGATTGGCCCGACTTGCACCGTTGTGCATCCGTCGGCTATTGTTTGTGCATGATGAGCCACATCGACTTCGGGATACCAACCCGAAGTCGCCTTCGCCATCGCGACCTCGACGAAGTTCGCGTGCCTCCGCAGAACCCGCCAAGCAGGTTACCCGGTCGACCTGGACAACCCCAGGTGCTCTGGTCGATCACCAAGTGCCTCTGGTCGACCACCGGGTCCCTCTGGTCGACCACAGCTCCCGTCGAGCTACCCCCTGGTCGACGGACCCCTTCCATCGACCAGAACTGTCAACTGTTGTCGCCGAGCTCCCCTCATCGACCGCTGCTCACTTGTCAGGTCGACAGACTGCTCTGTCGACCTCCCGGTCGAACTGCCCCTCCTGGTCGACGGCCCACCTGTCGCCCAGACCAGTCAGTTGCAGCTGTCGAGCTCCCTGGTCGACAGCAACACCACAGCGGTCCCCTGCAGCTCGACGAAGCCCGTCGAGCAGCTCTCCCACTGTGGATGGTCGGCTGCTACTCCCGTACATCCAACCAAGTCGTCGGCGTTGCCCAAGCGAGGGCGGGGCCAACACTTCACTCCCGTTAACACTCACCACTGCCAACTCCCCATTCACCACACCACTGAAAACTCCCCTTTCACCTCACCACTGCCAACTCCCCATTCACCTCACCACTGCCAACTCCCCATTCACCTCACCACTGCCAACTTCCCATTCACCTCACCACTGCCAACTCCCCATTCACCTCACCACTGCCAGCTCCCCATTCACCTCACCACTGCCAACTCCCCATTCACCTCACCACTGCCAACTCCCCATTCACCACACCACTGAAAACTCCCCTTTCACCTCACCACTGCCAACTCCCCATTCACCTCACCACTGCCAACTCCCCATTCACCTCACCACTGCCAGCTCCCCATTCACCTCACCACTGCCAACTCCCCATTCACCTCACCACTGCCAACTCCCCATTCACCACACCACTGAAAACTCCCCTTTCACCTCACCACTGCCAACTCCCCATTCACCTCACCACTGCCAACTCCCCATTCACCTCACCACTGCCAGCTCCCCATTCACCTCACCACTGCCAACTCCCCATTCACCTCACCACTGCCAACTCCCCATTCACCACACCACTGAAAACTCCCCTTTCACCTCACCACTGCCAACTCCCCATTCACCTCACCACTGCCAACTCCCCATTCACCTCACCACTGCCAACTCCCCATTCACCTCACCACTGCCAACTCCCCATTCACCTCACCACTGCCAACTCCCCATTCACCTCACCACTGCCAACTCCCCATTCAGCTCACCACTGCCAACTCCCCTTTCACCTCACCACTGCCAACTCCCCTTCAACCTCACCAATGCCAACTCCCCTTTCACCTCACCACTGCCAACTCCCCTTTCACCTCACCACTGCCAACTCCCCTTTCACCTCACCACTGCAAACTACACATTCACCTCACCACTGCCAATTCCCCATTCACCTCACCACTGCCAACTCCCCTTTCACCTCACCACTGCCAACTCCCCTTTCACCACTGCCAACTCCCCTTTCACCACACCACTGACTTTCTGTGCCTTACATTGCGCCTTCTATTACGGCGACGAGACCTCATTGCAGGAGATCCAGCCTATGCGGAGGGAGTCAACCTACGGTACTATCCTACGGAATCGTTCTCCTCGAAGGTTGTTATTTTGTCGATGTAGGGTTCGGGGAAGTGATGAACGAGCGAGAAAAGGATGTGCTGCTGGAGGTGAATGAGCTTGGCGTGATTGCCGCTAGTGTGAGATTTCAATCGAGAGAATGTTTTCCTCTGCTCTGCTCTCTTCGCCCATTCAGTCTCGAGTTGTTTTGCTGATGTTTTGCATTTGGTGGTGCTGGGCTGGCGATTCTTTCGGTGGTTGAGGTCGCCCGAAGTCGCAGGATAGGCTTCCTGGGCTGGTTTGGTGAGGTGACCAATCAAAATGCATCACACACAACCCAACCTGTCACTTCGGTGCAAATAACATAGCAACCAGCCGTCAAGTGTTTTGCAGTTGACCACAATTTCCGGTATTTGATATCCTGGCTTTAAAAGTGAGCAAGAAAGGTGAAATTGAAGGATAATGCACACTCCAGTGGTCCAGGGGAGTACAATGATTTCACCCCAGGGGGGTAGAATACGGTACGATAAGCACATGCGCTTATAATTTGACTCAACTATTAGCGCACCCCCCTAAAAAACGCTGCTTCATTATAAGCGCACCTGCGCTTACATCCGGGGTATTACGGCATAAACAGCCAGGATCCGATAAGACCAATTTGTCATATCAGGGTGATAAAGTATATCCGAGGGATAACGGTACTAGAATGAGTACAGGGGATATATATAATCCTTTACCCTCTAAAATGCACCTCAGTCGTAGGAAATTTGCCAGGCAACCCCTTTCTTCTCTTCTCCCCCTCACCCCCATCCCATCCCACCCCCCACCCCACCCTTCCCCATCCCATGCTGTACTATTTCTGATTGTGACAATAGCGAACAGACCTCATTTACGAAAGGGAGTATTGTTTCACACTTCATAACTTGTTACGGTAGTGTCAAGTCTCAAGAGAGCATGGTAATGTCGTAACAAGGCTACAACTTGTACCGTATGGTAGACAGCCCAACCTAACGACCAGGTGAGTACTCCTGCACAGGGATTGTAAGTTTGAAGCCATAATGTTTGCACAACCAAGGGCTGGCACCGAAGTAGAGGTGGCCGTCTATGGCTGAGTAAGGAACAGTGTAGCTGCAAGAAAACAGGTCACGCTCAAAACATCAGACAAGACAACCACAATCTGGATGAGCAACGAAATGAATGGCCCAGACAAGATCGCACGCACCGGTATTGCTGGCCAAGAGCTTCAAATTCGTGCAGCTTCCGTGCAGCTTTGAAGTTGCACTTCTGATAGTCCTCTTTCGTATAGAACTCATACAGCTTCTTATGAGGAACGACTCCCACGTTTATAAACTCTGTGGAGGAGATATGAATGGAAAGAATTGAGTGAAAGCGAGAGAGAGAGAGAGAGAGAGAGAGAGAGAGAGAGAGAGAGAGAGAGAGAGAGAGAGAGAGAGAGAGAGGGGAAGAGATAGGTACCGATTTCGTCTGACGGATTCACCTTGCCCCACCGCCAAGAATTTTCATAATAAAATGCATACGTCTTGACCTGAAGCACATGCAACGGAATAGGGTTAGACTTTTAACAATTAGTAAAAAGCACAGAGGTCCAGGCCGGTCACGTAGACGGCTGAGGTTACGGTCGAGTCGCTGGCTTCAGCTAGAAGCCAGTTCGTAAGGGATGGATGTTGGGGGGAGGAGCAAGATGGCGGTGCAATGTCACTCATTTCTTATGCTCACGAACCTTAGTGGGCTTGCTGTTAGTGGTCTTGTTGGCAGTGGTGGTGTTGCTGGGACTGGGCATCAGCCGCACCGATTCTGAACCTGCGGACACATGAACAACACGAGATGTATGAAGCGGGAGCTTGGAGGGTTGGCGTAAGAGCATTTGAGTCGTCTCAAAAGCGCATCGCGTCGGAACCTACGGACACACAAACGAATTGACGTAGAGCAAAGCGATGGACGAAAATCCAGAGAGTAGAAAGTGAGCTGAAGATCGCAAGTTGAGAAATACGTAAGATACGTGCCGAGCACGGCTCAAACCCGCGGGAGGTAACGTGGGTAAGAGCCGTTGAGAGTGAGGGTGAGAGCGAGTGAAGAAGGCGCGAGGGGGTGGGGATGGTAGTAGTACCACAGACGAGGACGAGAATCACAGCAGCAGTCAAGCCGAGAGGGAGAAGCCGCGCCATTGTGCCAGCGTTCGCAAGACAACTCGCGGATAAACTTGAGGATTGAAACAGTTGTGATAACAATCCCTGATAAGGCCCATTTTATACCGTACACTGTCCGTCCATGCCACTGCCAGTCGATGGAACCTCCCCTGACCCACCCACGGTGGGGCGAACACCGAACGTGTTCGGGCGAACACCGAACACGTTCGCCCCAAAAAATTTTAGCCAAAAAAAATCCTGTTCAGTTCGTCTCGAACACGTTCGAGGCGAACCGTGTTCGGGCGAACCGAACAGGTGTTCGTTTCCATGCTCATCCCTACCTCCGCGCCTGCGTCCGCCGCGGCCTCGCCAGCCGCCGCCACCCCGCGCCGCTCCACGGCCTCGTCGCCGCCTCCGCGCCCACGTCGCCGCGGCCTCGCCAGGCGCCGCCGCCCGCGCCGCTCCCCTCCACGGCCTCGACGCTGCCTCCGCGCCCGCGTCGCAGCGGCCTAGCCAGCCGCCGCCGCCCGCGACGCTCCCCTCCACGGCCTCGACGCCGCCTCCCCGCCCACATCGCCGCGGCCTCGCCAGCCGCCACCGCCCGTGCCGCTCCCCTCCGCGGCCTCGACGCCGCCTCCGCGCCCGCGACGCCGCGGCCTCGCCAGCCGCCGCCGCCCGCGCCGCTCCCCTCCGCGGCCTCGACGCCGTCTCCGCGCCCGCGACGCCGCGGCCTCGCCAGCCGCCGCCGCCCGCGCCGCTCCCCTCCGCGGCCTCGACGCCGCCTCCGCGCCCGCGTCGTCGCGGCCTCGCCAGCCGCCGCCGCCCGCGCTGCTCCCCTCCGCGGCCTCGACGCCGCCTCCGCGCCCGCGTCGCCGTGGCCCCACCAGCCGCCGCCGCCCGCGCCGCTCCTCTCCGCGGCCTCGTCACCGCCTCTGCGCCTGCGTCCGCCACGGCCTCGCCAGCCGCCGCCACCTCACGCCGCTTCGCGGCCTCGTAGCCACCTCCACGCCGACCTCCGCTGCCTGCGCCATTCCTCCACCTCCCCACCGCTTCCGCACCCGCGCCACAGCAGCCCCACCAGCTGCCGCCACCTGCGCGCTTCCGTGACCACTGCGGGTCCACCCGCAGCCGTCCCTCATGGCTAACCCCATGCCCTCCCCCTCCCCCCTCCCTCCTCCTATCGATACTTCCTCCATTGACAAATTACAGCTTGCAGCCGACAAATCTGCCATTAACTGGCACTCGTTCGTCGGCAGCATCCGACGAGTCCTCAACGATGCATGGATCCCCCCCTACCGCGTCCTTGACGTCATCCTCCGCCGCCCCCATGCCCTCCCCCCCACCGAACCTGACCACCCCGGCAAGACCCCTCCTCTCCCTCCCCCTCCTGGCGACCCTCCCCTTGAGCCCGAGCTCCAGACTGCCGCCGACCAAGCCACCGCAGATGCAGATTTCATTATGCGTCGCCGTGCCTACCTCATCCGCAAAGCCGAGTACGATGCAGCAGCTGATGCCTACGCCCAGGCCGTTGCTGGCCGCAATGCTCACCTCGCCGTCGTCGCCAAATACAACGACGATATGGCTACCTTCACTCCTAAGTTCATCGCCTGGTCAGCCGTTGACAACCGAGCATGCACCGTCATCCTCGGTGCTCTCCCCGACTCCCTCATGCGCCGCTTCCAGACCCGGGAACTCCGTGCCTCAGTGATACGGGCAGAACTCCATGCTATGTTCGAACGCCGCGACATCAGCTCAGTGGGAATCCTCTTCCAGGAATATTTCTCTATTACCCTCGCCACCTGTGACGGAGCAGTAGACTATGTCGGTCGCATGCGAGAGGTAGCTGATCGCCTCGAAGCCCGCCAAGCCGGTCTCTCCGAACCCCTCCAAATCCATCGCTTCCTCTTCAACCTCACCCCAGACTATGAATCCCGCCTTCACGCCTTTACTGAGGCCAATCCCATGGCCAATATCACTTCTGTTGAACAGTGGATCATCGATACCGAAGTCAAGCTTCGCACCCCCATGGTCAACCTCGCCTCCTCCCACCCTTCCTCCTCCTCTCTCAACGCTACCCAGCCCCGCAAGCAGGGCAAAGGCAACGGCAAAGGGGGAAGTGGGGGCAAGGGAGGCAGCGGTCAAGGAAGCAGCAGCGCAAGCAGCCGTGGTGGCTCTACTGGGGATGAGCACGGCACCCCCAGTCAGGGCGGTCCCTCTGGAAACCGCGGACCCCGCCCTGGCACTCTCCCTCCCTGCACCTATGTCCGTCGCTACGGTCCCTGGGCAGGGACACCCTGCGGTCAAACCAACCATCCCCCTAACACTTGCTTCAAGGCTCTCGATGATGCCTGGTACGCACGGGGCAATGTTGGCACACCTCCCCGCTGGGGTACCGTCTCCCCGCGTCCCTCCCCTGCTGACATCCAAACCCACCCTGCTTATCTCCCCGCCCACCTCCGCCTCCTTGCTCCCCCCACGCCGTTCCTCAATCTTCAGCAGCAGCATCTTCTGCAGCAGCAGCAACAGCAGCAGCAGCTGTTCCAGCAGCAACCACAGCAGCAGCAGCAGCTGTTCCAGCAGCAACCACCGCAGCAGCAGCAGCAGCAGCAGCAGCCCCCATGGGGACCCGGGCTCCCACCCCAGTGGGGACCCAGCACTCCCCCCTGGCAGCAGCAGCAGCTGAACTTCAGCACGGCAGCCACAGCTGCTCAGACCTCCCCTGCTCCCCTGTGGGGTGCCCCACCTCCTCCTGGTAGTATTGTCACTCCCCTCACCCA